GAACTCTGTGCCATCTACTTTGTCCCTGTACCTAAATGACATATTTGATAGAATTAAGCATGGGAGCATATTTCGGTTTGTAGATGACATTAAAGTCATCAATACACACACCACCGAAACGCAGTAATATATGCGAAACATTCCAGTCGATCTGTTGTCTCTAGGAAAATAGTGTCATGTGTAGCAGATGTCGTTTGTCGTTGATAAATGGCACATAGAAGTGTGAGATCCCATCTGTCTTGTCCCTATCCCACGTTTAACATGGAAAAGTTGATGCACCCATGCCACTGATGTTACCCCGTATTTCTCACATACTAACATTCATTGGACTAAGCGGACCCTTACATTTGATAGTTTGCCTTGCTATCCACTCGCGTTTGAGCTTCAGTAACCGTTGCAATGCGCCAGGCATGACTCGTGTGTCCATACAACCGTTCGATCATGACTTCAGTTCTCTGCCTCTTCGGACACAGCAAATTGGCGTCCCGGGCAACCATATCGTCGCACACTGCTACCCTTGCTCAGTTTTGGACATCTTTTACGGTTTCACCAAATGCAAAATGCTGGGAAGATTTAAGAATGGACTATGCGGACTATATTTATCTTATCAGTTCAAAATCCATCCGTGACGCTGAAAACAGAGGATGCTTTAAAAAATTTGAGATTTCACCTCGGATCGAAGGATTATCATATCTTTGATGATGTCAAGCTTCGACAGAAACTCACCTTAAAGGATGCCTTAGCAACGCTGGATAAGCAATGGAGCGTTCACGTGGATACACATCCGTCCTGGTACAAAGTTCACAGTCAATTCAGGCACATGATGAATCCCTGGATGCTTTCACTTCTCACCTCATGTGTCCTGTTCAGAAATATGGTTATGACAATATCCAAAAAGAGAAACTTGAAGAAACCATACCAATACGACAATTGATCACTGGCGTTTCGGGTTCCCGACTCAGACAGCGTCCGTCAATAGAAGATGCAGACAAGCTCTCTTGGGACAGAGGCTGCAACCTGGCTCGCGGGAAGGTTATAGTCTCTGAACAGAGTGAACTGTTTCTTCCTCACAGAGCCGTCCCAAAAGTGGAGCAACTTGATTCATCTCATCTTCTGACGTCATCGGGTGAAAACAAATGGCAATGTTACGAAAATACTGAACATCGCGGAAACAGATCTTGCGCATTAAAGAGTCAAAGGGTCATTTAACCGAAGTCTTTTGCTTTCGTGTCATTTCTCGCGCTAATCCTTTCACAATGCAGCTTTACCGGTCACTAGCGAAAACCATGTGGCGTTACCGAAAGTGAGAAATCCGTTATTTTTACCTTCTCATGAATCAAAGGTACCTTAATCCGGTATTCGTAGTGCACTATGCGAAACGAAACTAGTCGTCTAGATTTGGCACCTTATTCGGTGTCAGTGGTACCATACATTTATACAAGCAGTATATTTCCAATTTGACTGTGCACCTTTCCACTTACATCTTTACCAGCTATTCGAATGGTGATGTTCGGATACAAAGTTCTTTAGCAGTGTAAAGTTTCATAGGGACAGCAGAAAATGTATGGTTAAAGTATAGGTTTATAGAACATACAGTAAGTCCCCGCAACGTCGTCATGACATAGTCTTGTCAAATATAACATCTTCCGTCAGCAGAATGACAAGCACCAACCTCAACCCCAGACCTTCGCAGGCCAATTACCGGGGCTTATTCGAGAAGATATTGCTGGGTTCCAAGGGCAATACACCGCATCCGGCAGAGCGCGGATCATATACAGTTCACTATCTCCCAAACTAGGCTATATCCCCGGCAAAACGGGATGTTTCGTCAAAAATTGTGAGATGGTCAGCGAAGTGTTGATAGGATCGATATAGTGTTCTGAGTAGGTTTATCCGCTGGCTGCAGTTCAAAATAACGATGGGAATGTAATCGTATGTACCGACCTGCAAATGTTTAAAAGGTACAAAATTGTCGATAAATTCCCATCACCTTCTATCGATCAGTCGACGGTTAAATTTTCAAATGTTAACCACCGCTCGAGGTATGATATTCGCAGCACATATTCTCACTTACAGCTCATGAAAAAGTGTGAAAGATTAACTGGAACAATTGAGCTTCGTCATTGTAATCGAACAAAACCGATCCTGTCCGCAATCAACCCACTTTTATATTCATCCTTAGGTAAGAGAGTAAAATCAGTTTTACTAACCACCCTACCGTATTTGCGCCACTTTAACACATGCTAACCACCTAATCGAGCAAGTCACAGTCGAGGTGACGTGGTTCATTTAGAATGTCGGCAGCTCAAAGTGGGAGGTAATCTTGTGCAGAGAAAAAGCCAGTAACGTACGCGTCGGTTGCGCCAATAAGCACATCGGGAGCGACGCACGTCGGACCAATTTCCGTACCGAATATGAAGGATGCGATGCAGCTTTCACGACAATCTCCAGTTCCGCGTCCTAAGCAATACAAACCGCCAGCAACAACTCACAAGGCAGGATTTGCTATACAGAACCACAATGCGTTAGCTCTGGGTTGCATTAACGTTGCCGAGTTCAAAGCTGACGTGATGAGGGGTAGTTTGCCAGGCAATCACAACCAGTAGAATTCCATCTGCGATGAATTTGGTATTTAGGTTGAGTCCACTATGATGAGACATGTAGCGCGTCACCCAACTTCAGTTCATTACGATGAGCCTCGATTTCTTCGAGCAATAGTGAACTCAGCAGAGGTGAGTGACAGAGACTGTTCTACTCTCAGCAGGTTATCTTCGTACCTCACCGAGTGAGGTGCGCGTATTACACGATCTTCCTTGGAAAGATCGCTCAGAGGAAGCGGATAACCAAGACGGCCATCCTAGAAGCGATAGTAAGGAAACTATTTGTTACTGGCGTTCCCGAGCTTACGGATTCTCCTGATCACGTAGCGCAGAGGAATTATCGGGAGCAGTGATGCTACATCCGCGATGCATTCAGTTTGGACGATGTTGACGAGAATTGACGTTGACAAAAATTTCTTCATCAACAAATTTCAAGGGCTTTGGTCCAAGATTCATGGAAGTGGTGCTACTTTCCGAATGAAGGACAAAAGTCCTATTGGATAACTGGTTGAAGTTCCGCAACAGCTTACCAACTGCCTAAAGACAACAGGCGCACGGTCACGATTAAAATTTGCAACCTCAGTAAATCGGTTGCCTCCACAGTTTGACGAAGCAAACGAGACAGCAGCCACTATGGCACCCAACAAAACAGAGTGAAGCACGAGCGAAGATCCTGATCTGGAACAATCTGTGAGGTCATGCATCCCAACTGAAATTCATAAACCAACGACTCACCAACAAAAGCGGTCAGAGACTGACCATCGGCTTTAAAAAACCAATTTAACATCCAACAACGCTTTCCTAACATACAAAACACTGCCCTGTTTGTACACTAATGCGCAAGCCCTTCTTAGTAAGTTGTACAAACTCAGAGAGCACCAGGCCTCTCAACCGAGGAATTACACCATGATTACGGAGACCTGCTTAAGTCTTGAGATAGCTGATTTTGAGATCAATTTACCCGGTTTGTCACTGCTTCGGAAATAGATAGAAATGGAAGGGAAGGTGGTGTAATTCTGTACCGCAATGCTAAACTCCGCTGCGAAGTTACTTGATCACCCAGAAACCCACGTCCCTTATTCGCTGTGGTGCCAGCTATGGTTGCAGAACAAGGACAAAGACCCTGCAGCCATAAGTTACCGCCCGCCAAACTCGACCTCGGAAATGGACTCCACACTGAACCACGTTCTACAGGCTGCACTGAACAAGTCAAACAGCCACATCCTCATCCCGGGAAACGTTAATGTGCACGAATTGGAAATACCAGCACCTGACAGCACATAGTTTAAAGCCTGTTTGCATGAACTGGATTCCAATGGACCACTGTTCGACTACGTCACCTCACCTATCAGATTTCGAACTGCCAACAGGCCACCGATACTCGATCTCGTGCTCACCAACAAAAAACTCATAGTAGACGGATTAGTTACAAGCACATCATTAAGTCTCAGTGACCACGTCACACTGTTGTTTGAGCATATATGCTAAGTGGGATATTCCGAAGAAGAGGAGGATGAATTGTACACTGTCACTCATTTCAGTGCGTTGTTTAGGACAAATCTTGGACCAAACGCCGAAAGTCAATCTACGACCTTCTGAACTGCATACCCCCAGATCTCGCCTGAGAAACGTTCACAGACATTTAGCACACTGGTAGCGTACGCAACAAGAATTCTTCCATCACCAAAGTAAAACCAAATCATTTCTAAGGAGCAGAACATGTAAATATGAGGGATCTGACATGGCAAGCTAACACGGACTCGTTGAATGTCGAAACCTTGACTACATACGTAGCACAATGTAAATTCTGAATGAAATTGCCCCACGGGGACAAAGTAACGCATCAGAAGAAGTTAATGGCGCGATTCTGCACGAAGTGCAAACTATTGTACAGGCAAAGTAAGGCTTTCGTAAGGTGCACTGTGAAATCCCAGCATTCGTCACGACTGACAGGTACACGTGAGCAGCAACGGAAGCGATTGATATCTTACGGTCCCATTACTCTCATACGTGCCAATGGGCAACAGGTCAAATGATTGTCGCTACTTCTACTGCCCCATCGCCAGGTTTATCCAAGATCACTTTTACTGCAGAAGTGATGTCTAAGAAGCTGTTATTCCTGCCTATCAACAGTTCTCCAGGAGTGGATAACATTCGGCAAAGAACAGAAAATGCGCACATGAACATTTCAGAGGAACCTACTGAACCTAAATGCATTTTACAAGGCCCAGAGGAGTTTCAAGGTTATTTTTATTATTCCGACACCGCTAACTTCCTACCCATTAAACCCCGCGTGTGAACGCATACGATTATTCCTATACAAGTGGGGGAAACAATTGGAATGTTCTGGATCAGACACTGCTTGATAGCTCTCCGTAAATGCGAGAAATATGACAGTTATGTATTCAGCCATTTATTTAAGTCAGCAGCGGTGCGATGACGAATACGAGTGAGGATTGTGTCAACAGACAGCAAAGAGGCGAAATGCAATTGACTAGAGAGATTCAAAGAAAGCGAGAGACGCAGTGACGTAAAAATACGGCGGTGAGGAGAGCGAACACATACAACGTGTTACTATGTTCATTTTCATGGCCAGTGTCATCGTCGTCCATGAAGAGCAGGCTGAATGCATCTAGTGTGTGTAGAGCGCGTGTCAGAGATGGAAAGTGGACAAAGGGTGGGGAGACGACATAATTGCACAAAATACAACAAGGATGCACTACGCAAACGGAAATGGGTAAAATAGTAGCGGTCCAAAGCATACGAATAAGCACGGATATTATACAAGGTGCCGTGAGATGACACCTGTTTAAAACAGACAACCTAGTGAGGAGAGAAAAACCCCGAGAGAGACCAATGAACAAGAACATGTTAGGAGATACTGTGTAGTAACCAAAAACTCTGTCACATACAAACGGTTCTATTTGGAACCTAATGTGGACATGCCTCAAACGCAGCCTGAACGAAGCGAAGTGACCGATACATCTTTACTCAAGCAAAGAGAAGGAGGACGCAGACAAAATCAACCAAATCAACAAAGTCAAAAGACGTCAAAATGAGACTAGGAATATCCTACGCTCCTGGATGAGACAAGGAAACCGCAAAGACAGCAGTGACGTCAGGAGGAGCAACGTTGACGCACACAGCTCCTAAATGACTGTTGTGTAACGGTGATTCCCTGTACAGCCTTGGATGAGACCGGCCCTGGGAATGCTTATTCATCGGTGGATTTAAGGGTTGCAAAGTGAGAAGACCAGACGCTGATTGAGAGGGTGATCGTTCGTCGTCTCCTTCGGATTTGCACTAGGTGACGGAAGAGACTGTGGAGCACTTCGTGTTGTCTGAGGAATATACGTGATTAACTGTACAGGCACGGGGACAAGGCTGGTCGGTGGTGCTCCCGAAGCTAAAGCAGCGGCAGCAGCTAACGCCGCGGCTCCAGCAGAAGAGGACGCGGATACCAAAAGCAAGGGGAATCCAGACTTCGATCCGTTCAAAGAACGCATAAAGGAACTAGTATTGAGTTCAGAGTTCAGGGTAAGCGGTCGATTTACATCAGCAGATATCTCATCAGATTGTTTAAACGGGAAGTTAGTGGTGTGTCCCGTAGTTGGAGAGAATGTCATGAGAATTCGCGCGTTCGATGGTAAGTCTTCAGAATGTTTGTGTCCCTGATCGTGTGATTTGTTCGAATGGAGAAAGGCATTCGTTGCTGATGCTGCATGCAACGAGAAGGCAACTGAAGTTTGTTCCAGTGACGGTGCCTTAGCTCCAGCTGCAGACAGTGCAACATGGGCCATGGGTGTTGGTGTTTCTGGCTAAATAGCAACGAGTAAATGTAAGATGGCGATTGAGAAATATGCCTGTTACCATTATGATGGAATAATCACAACACCAGTGAGAGAGTGAGAATAAGTTTAAGAATGGAGATAGGTAAATCATCCCATCAGTATATACAAAACTCACGCCGGGGAGTCTAAGTCACAAATAATTTGCCACCTGCTATTCAGCATAACCCCTCACTTTACGAGTAAGACACTGCATGTGTTGAGGTATGCCGCACGGTCTGTCAGTACACATTACCGTGGAAAGTTGCAGTGAGATTCAGTTCTCAAAATAAAGTGAGCACCGTAGATCACGCATGCCTCAGTGTTGGAAATGGTCTCCCAAGGGACAGTATATTTTGGCTTTTTTTTTATCACTGTTGCTTCTGCTTAAGCAGCGCCAAATACCGATTCGGTGTTCCAGTTCATTGTTATCGCATGTACTGCAAGCAGAAGTCAACGCATTTGTACTCACCCAGGACACAACAGCATTGTCAATTTATAACAGGCCAAATTTCAGCACCTTACGTTACCAGTCTGTACAACAGATGAGTCATACCGCTCTGTCCAGCAATTGGGTCAGATGAATTGATCAAGCTGAGCCTAATTTTATAAAGTGGTCAGTTCACAGCCAGCAACGCCTTGGACAAATGAGAGATGTTTTAGCGTGAGCCATGGTTAACTATAGATCCCATAGCACCGGCTTCGTAAGGAGCCAATCAACCAGTCGGTAGTTTGTGAAAATGAAAAATCAATGGCACGTAAGCGCGATGAGTTCTGTGAAATGCGTCATATGAAAGCTACCAGTGGTACAGTTAAATGGGTTCATCGACGATGACAACAACGGCAATCTGTCATCAGTGTCGGTGCTTCACAGCTATGACTTCGCCCATGGTTGTATGTGAGTTCGGATACCGGTGCAGCGCCCAAACCTAAGCTGAATAACGATTAAGGCGATTTGCATAGAAGTCTACAGACACCGCAGATGGAATTTTACGACGGTCAATATGGTGAGACGATTTCACAGAAATCGACATCACCTAGATTTCAAATTGTAATCCGTATGTTTGGCTGACCGTCGTCAGCTAATCAACCTGATAGGATTAGCTTCAAAGACACCACATGTAGCACAGCTCACTAGGTCGTGGAAGTATGTAGTACACAGTAGAGTTCGACACATGTATTAATTGATTAAGATGGTCGTAACGGTATCGAATAGACGATCGATTCATCAAGAACGGTTGTGATCTCGTAAGATAACCGCGACTCCCTTAGTCAACAGTGCGATAGAACATAAATTAATGCACAAGGGGAAAGGAATTTTGCGACATTGGTATAACAGCCTCGAGAATCGAATAAGCCGTAAACAAAAGGACTCACCTGTGATGGCGCCGACAACGGCTTTCGCGATGTGACTTCCATCACCGATGACGTGGCAACGAGAGTACTGTTAAGGTGAGCAATTATGTCAGAAGAATTCTTCTGAAGGGCATGCAGCTCAGTAAGCGACTGCCGTACCGCACTGTTCGGACTGGAGATATGCTCGAACGGTGACGTCTTCGTATCCTGTGGAGCACTTTGATGAGTATGTATAGTGACACCGAAAGCAGAAGAAGCCGATGACAGGTGACCAAGATTCAAGGCTAAAGTGCTCCCCTCATTCGTGGTAGACGTCCTAACACGCACATGAGGTCCATGGTGGATGGAATGGATGAGGGTGGATTGTGAGCGAGTATCCAGTGCAGATGACGAAGTAGCAAGCAACGGGAATGCCTGTGTTTCCTGGTGAAACCTATTTGTGCACGTGTCGGACTGGGTAGAGGGGGGTTCGACAGAGCTCCGTTCGGTGCACGTTAGAGACAGGGTCGCGGATAGGTTGGCACTTGAACTTACAGGGAAAGAAGAGTAGATTTGTGCTTGTTTTACAGTGTGAGGCTGATCTGAGCAAGTGGGTTGTAAGCGCTCTGTATCCGTGCAAGTACTTGCTGTGTTGGATGAGGAAGTTAGGCTGCGGACTAGCAGACAAAGTTTGGATTTGGTGTGCTTCACAGTCGGTGTGCGCTCCTCGGAGTTCAACTCGGCATCGATGTCTAAAAAAACCGTGCACAAGAGATAGGAGAAGGGGGGTCAACTATCATCAACATTATCTTAAGTTGTTGCTTCAACACACCTAAGAGGGCGCGTGGGGATTGTTCGGTGGTATGAACGGAACGATCGACCCTCGAAGCCTTAAACGACGCGGCCATGACATTCAAGCGCAGTGATCGGTGCATGGGAGAATTTCGGAGCGCGTTGTCGGCACATCACACGATCCATCTCACATACGCGTCTGAAAGAAGCACCTAATCAGTTTGGTTCAAAGAGTGAAACGCGGTTCGAGCACTCGAATGCGATAGATCAGACTTTATGATATGAAAATAACATTTACCAAGCATAAATGATAGAGAGAGGGATAAAGGTGTAGAGATGAGGGAAAAAAGAAGAAATACAGAGGCGTTAAGTTTTAAAACTCGAAAGCAGAAGCACTAGGAGCACAATGCGAAGGTATCGCTGACCCAGTGACTGCACAACGTCGGAAAGAGCCTCCAGAGAGCCAGGCTTCTGTTCGGACATATGGTGCACACTTGGCCGAGCAAGTGTCGCATCAACTTTCATGTATTCGGTCATTCCATGGAATAATCTCAATGAGGCCCCGCCCAAAGGGGAGTAGCGACGATGTACAACGCATGCTGAAATGGTGGAGGGGGTGTCTTCACCTACTTCCATCAACGCTGATGTACTCGTCATCCATATTTTTACCCCCTCAACAAGTGAGAGCAGTTGCCATTTGCTTGAATGTAAGCCAAAGTTTTTCAGTGGTTGTTGTTCTCTTATTATTGGGAATGTATACCTATCCCTCGACACACAAGAATCAGCGTTAAAAGCTTTTGTGCTTGATCTGTCTTCGGCGTTACTATCTAAACTTGACCGCTCAGTCTGTGGTATCACCGGGGACTACAATAAAAGTGATATGTCATTCATTCAGGCAGTTGATCTGACTAACATAGTGGCCTTTCCGACCAGACTTGGAGCGCAACCGTATTTCGTCTGCACAAATCAGGCCTAGCCGTTTTCCGCGTAAAAACATGCCCTACTCGGTAACTCCGATCACTGTACCATAAAAGTATGCGCCATCGTTTATGGTAAAACTCATTCCGGTTCATTGGCTAACAAGCCCCTGAAAACAGTTGCGAGACTCCAGAAAATGCTGATTTCTACCGCTTTTACCGTTGCAACCAGGAAGATCTGTCTATTTAGTGTGATCACTTATCTTATTAATTTTTGCTTAGACCTTTGTTGCCCGGTTGAAACCATTCATTTACGAGCAGATAGTTTTTCTTCATCATCACTCAAGCAAAGCAGGAGAAAAAACGAACGAGCCTACAAACGTAAAATGACAGCGCGTGTCAACCAACTCTTGCTAACAATAAAACTGAGATTACATGGTTGAATAATTTGTACATCGAAGCCGTTTTATGAAACCACAACTAACGAAACCTGTGGAAAATTTTAAAGCAGTTATACGGTACAAGCTTCAATACGAAGCTAGGATCTGTGGATGAAGAGAAACGTAATTCTGAGTTCTCTTCTGCTTCACAGGATGCATCTTCCACCCCTTCATTCTCTCTGTGCTCTGGTTCTGGTCCAACAATTACATTCCAACACATTGAAGTCAACCGTGAGCTTGATAATCTGAACTCAAGAAAGGCTAGTGGACCCGATTCTCTCACACCAGTTGTCTTGAAAGAGTGCCAATACCTACACCATGCCCATGATGGGTCTTTTAAATCAATGCTTACGTTGTGAAACTATTCCTGACATTTGGAGGCCTGTCAGAATAACGCACGTGCCAAATTAGGAACCCACGAAATTCCGTCCGATCGCCTGTACATCCGTCATGCTGAAAGTCTTAGAGCGACTACTTTTGCCTTGGATCTCAACAAACGATTCGGCCTTAGACGTATCTTAGTTGGCTTACAAACCACGTTGGATGCCATAACATCTTTTGTTCACTCTATTCCATGTTCATTGGATGCGAAATGCAAGAACCTGCAGCGCCTCTTCCTTGATTACACCAACGCTTTTGGAAGTGTCGACAGATCAAGCTCGCTTAATCAGCTGTCTGAGAATGATCTGCAACCAGCAGCGTGCAACCTGATGAGCGATTACTTGGTAAACCGAACTCATTTTACCCAACTAAATGGTAAAAAAATCCCACACTTAGTGACGACTGGGGCGTCTTACAAGAAGCGATCCTCTCCCCTCTTCTATTCCCTCTATATATCGAAATGCTTCCAATTTCCCCCAACTTTATTGGATGTAAGTACGCTGACGAGGTAGTTTTAGGCAGCACTTCTCCAAGTGCTGAATCAGTAGCTGCTCTTCAAAGCGGATTGCATGAGTTTCAACAGTGATCATCGTCTGATTCCTTATCCTCAACGCTTCTAAATTCCGCAATGTAACTTTCTCTGTTCTCCGCACTGACAGACGTCTGATTGTCATAAACACTTGTAGCCCAATGGTCGTAAACGACCACACCATACCCAATTCATCCACTGTAAGTACCTTGGTGTATAGTTATCGCGTAATCTATCTTGGTCAACACACTTTGGCGAAACTTTCCGTAAGGTGCGAAAAGTATCATTCTATGCCCTGCGAATCAAAACGCTTTTAGTACCCTGCTCTTTAATTTACAAATTCGTGACTGCCTGTATTCTACCCCATTGGGTATATTGCCCACCTATCATTTTTTCTGGTCCTCTACAAAAAGAATTCACAATAATTGTGCTCTCCATTAAGCTCATTTTCAGATTTAGTTGATTGCCCAGAGAGTCTCCGATTGACTTCATGGTTATTAAACACTCTGGTGTATGTGACAACTTTCCAGCGAAAGTTTTAAATGACCCTTTTCACCCCCTTCAGGCATATTTATCTAAGGACCTCTTCTGCTAGTCTATCCGCTCTAAATATAGGGTTTTGTTTTCTCGCACAACAGTTCATCATTATTCTATCATACCGTGTTTACCCCGTCTCCTTGTGGGGTCCAAGAAACTTGTCAGCACCACGCGTGAACGCTTACCTGAGTGATGTGTATGCGTGTTTTCTTCTTGTTACGAGTTGATAACAATATCATCTTAATGTTACTCCTCACTACATCCGCAATGGTAGTGTAAAATGCTGAAAATGTTCCCAGTCGAGTTCTTAAAGCCTACCTTGACTTGATTTAACTTGCTTTGAAGAAGACAGTTATGCGGTAAGCGAGGAGAAACGTGATCCAACACACAAAAGCTGTTCATAGCGATCAAACAATCCGGTGTACCATCAGGAGGTATGGTATCAGGTGCCAGTTGATGAATCACAGCATCACTCTCCCAGCGGATAGGGACAGTACCCCGATGAAGATGACCAATTTCTTAGTGACTTAACCACGCAGTCTTTATCTCTCATCCGTAATGTGACAATGGAAGTACCACAGAGTTGGAGGACTGCGAAGCTGGCTTTCTAACGTGATAAGTGATTGAGGCCCTAAATACACAAGAACCTTCGTATATACCGGGGAAACCAGTGATAAACATCCGTATTGCCAAGTTACCAAGGACATACGATAATATTCAGTGTTCAACATAGTTCGTCTACAGTTTGCATAAAAGCTATGTCAGACCAGATAACAGCGACATCGTGCGGGCAGTCTGGGTGTGCAACCAGACCATTTGGCGGAGATTTTGCTTTAGGAAAAATTAGGCGGGTTGTATGACTTACGTATAATTCGAACACCAAATTGAAAGGGAGAGGGGAAACAGCCCAGCCTTGATTTACTTTGTTTGCCATTGTGAAATAATGAGGTAGAATCATCCTCTCACACACACACACACCACTTGAGGTTGTAGCACATAGATTTCAAGGTAGAAAGAAGCCTCGTGTCTTTCAAACATGGATTACAACGGAATCCGGTAGGACCAGCTGAATCAACAGCGATCTTAGTGTCAAGCAGCTCCAATACACAGCCAACACACTTCACTACTGGAGAAAACTCCTGACTGGCTTCCATTGATCCACAGCTCGACACTTGATAGTAGATAAGAGAATGGACATTAGACGACTGATTTTCATCCAATATTCTTATTTCCGTAGCACTGTGTCGACCTGTGTGTTTCTCTGCACATTAGTTGACGGCGGTTGACGTGCCGGATAATTTGGGATTCCAAGTGAATTGTCAAACTAACGTCGGCAGTGATTTGGCCACGCGGGTGCAAACCCATGGAAGGAAACCACATTGGGACAGAGTCGGTATCCAACTGTTCTCTCCAGTCCGGATAGAGATGGTGATCAATGTGATTTCAACAAAAATAGTGTGAGGTGGAGGCGGTAGTTGACTCGCGTTCACACAATCCAGTTTTTAGCGGCACTGGTCGATGGACGGTCTATAAGGTTAATGCCAGTGGCAGTTGGTCGCTGTATAAGATAGTAATTGTGTTCCGGAAAAGAACTTAGTTCGTTCCGCTTGTTGGACGCTCAGATAGTTACCGCACTTTGCTAGTGCACACCGGTCACGTACATTATGGTCCAAATTCGGGACATGGTGGCGAAGATATCGAAAACCAAGAGAATGGCTGGAAAACGATAGCACAGCCGTTGTGAGATCGCGAACATGCTAGAACGAGCACAGATGAGCTATGTGGTGCTAGAAGCCAAGTCGAAATTGATCGAAGAAATGACCAGCGTCTACTTGAAGATGTGTGGCAATCCCATTAGTATAGCTAAAATTTGATTCCAAAGACTGCATTGTAACAGTGAATGCTGTCACACTAACTGAATTGAGTATGTGCGGTTGGCAGACAGCAGGGTCTGTCAACGTTGTCCCATCCAAAGCAACTAGCCCCCAGCAAAAGTGAATAAACGGTGCGTTCCACATTATGAGTGCGAAACCCGCACCAACTCAGGGCTGAGTTGTGCACCGTCACACACTATAGTGTGGGTGAAGTGTCGCAAACTCGGTCTCCGATGGAGCGAATCGGTATTAATAAAACCGCATATCCAGTTAAGTAGAGAC